TTTAAAAAATATATAAATCTAAGCAAACATTTTTTAAAAATTAAAATTAAAATAAATGTAACAAAAGATATTCCCATGGCTATGGCAACTGTATCACTTCTCAATGTAGCAGTAGATGGGTACCAGCTTATACTATTTCCCCACTCATCCCTTTAAAACAACACAAATTCACAACTTAGATTTAAGATTTACAATTTTAATGCCAATGTTCTAGATGACATGAAAATCATGACCTAAATCTTAAGCAAATCATTGGGAAGCAGTTTTTCCAGATTAAGGGAGGTATCAGTATCAAAGAGCAACATGTACAATAAGGTCACTCTCACGCATGCATCAAATACATCAGCAACATCCAAAGAAATACCCATTTGTCATTCCCAACACAACCGCAAGTCAATTTGGATAAAGGGATTTGAAGTTTGGAAAACTTCTTCACCAATGGCATTCCTCGGCAAGTGTTAGCAAGCCAAATGGCAAACATAAATTATTAACCAAGAATAATTGGAAACATCTGTGACTTCATTGATCTGAAGGTACATAATTTATTTACAAATGTTTTTTACTATATACTCTACTGAACAAAGATTTTCATCATTTTCTGTACTTTACAAAGCATAGAGCTTTCTGAATAGGAAATAGATATAACTAAAGGGTAAACTTAACAATTAACCTGATTTTTAGCTATGAACCATGCACCAGATATAAGAACTTTTTTGTAAAAATTTCTAGGACTTCCCTGTTCTTCTGAATATGGTGTCTAAGCCAACTCTACTTGCTACAGGAAACAGTAAGGCTACTTACATTTTTACCAATATCCTCTGCTAGTCTGCTAAAAACAATTAATAGTCAACCTTCCATGAACTTAGAAGTGTGTCAGAAGTAAAGAAAATAAAATAGAGGAAATAAAGGAAGACTAAAACAAGCAATCTGGGTTGAAGAAGTTCATATTAAACATAGAAATATCGATTCTCCGGATGTTTCTAGAAAAAAGAGAGAGATGAAGTGTGTTTTCCCCCAACCAATTATTTGAAATTTTAACATATATTTGAACATATCTAGTTACTTCAGTTATTGCTATAAATGTTTTGACTTAAAGTATCACTTATGCACATTGGTTTGTAAAATATCTTTCCTTTTCATTGTTTTGGTTACAGGAAGGGAAGCAAAACATGTACATAATAAATATGAGGCACATACATTTCCATTTCCCTCATCCATGGCAGCCATAGCTAATGAACCACATTGTTCCTTGCCACTGACCAACTCTGAATTTTGGGGCTTCAGGAATCTATTACCCATCAGCTGGGGCTGCATTCAGGTTGAAAACTGTTTCCCATCCTTGAAGGAGAGTGTGTTCATCATCCCTATTTACTGGCTAAGACATCTTAGGAAAAGCTTTTAACCTGTTCTGCTGCCCTCAGAGGACTATTGTACAGTCAAAGAATTAATGCATGTGAACATATTTTGTAATCCATGCAGTTCTAATCACACATTGTTTGAAGGAACTTGATTAATTCTTTTGTAATATAAATAATATCATTTCCCTAATTGATCTCCTCCCTGGCTCTTCCCACAGACATTTATCTATTTTATAAATGTGGATTTTTAAATTTCTGGTTTTATTAAAACTGTGCACACCTGTATTCCTTTTGAATGCGCTATCTGATACTAACTAAAAGAAAATGCTGCTGGAGGAGGAGAAAGCTAGGGATCTCACACCTGCCTCATCATTATCGTGTTCTGGCAGTCCTTTCTGCTCGCCTGGAGGCTGTGTGATTAATAGCCCCACTTCCCAATTATACGCATATTATACTTGTCTTCCTTTGGCTGTAGATGGGAGATACCTTATGTATGTGCGATGCAAATGTGGGCTTTGTGAATGCTAATTTCAAAACCAGCCCAGAGTTGATTGGCAGAAAACTGAGCAATGGGGTGACAGGCTTGCCAGGGGTCAGGAATCTGCAAAATAAAGGCTGAGTGAGGGTGGAGAAAAAGAGCTGGAGAGATTTGCAGTTAATCAAGAGCAGTGGCTGAGAGAGCCCCAGTTTATGAAAACAGATCTAAGCCAGATATCCTAGAAGAGAGGGCAGCTTCAAAGACTGATAACAACAGTGAGAAGAGTGAGAGTTCAGCTGACTACAAAAACCAGGATGGAATTAAGAAGCCAAGATTATGCCATAAACTGCACAAACCATATTCTCTGCCTGTCACATCCCTGAAACATGCCTGTTTGCACCTGGTTTGTACCCTGGGGAAACGTGATCCATTTTTGACTGTGAATCCTCAAGGTCAGGGATCCTGTCATCTCTGCTTTTCTCGATGCCAGCAGGGGACAAGCACTCAGGAAGTGTTCACTAGGCTGGACCAAACGGAGCACTTCCGGGGGATGATTCGGGTAACGCAAAAGGGGAGGACCAGAGATTAGAGGCACTATTTCATCACTTAATCATTACAGCAGAATTGATCAGAATAAATACAGGAAAGTTTATTTGGAGGGCTTCCAATAACTAGGCAGAACAAATTGCTCAAGATAAGCCCTTTTTGGTTTGCATTATAAAACTCTCATTAAGATTTGCTAAATTTTCTGTACAGCAGATGCTTTCAGCCCAAGTCTGCCCACACAGTGGCAAGACTAAAGGCAGAAAGTGTGTTGAAACTTCTCCAAGTAATGGCTTAGCTGCACAGGTGCTTACTTACTCTCAGGTGTTCCACATGCAGCATTGCAAAAAAAGTGCACCGCTGGAAAGAACAGGTGGAAAAGGGAGAGGTAAAGATGCCATATCCTATGCTGGTTTGCTCAAACTATTCCTTCACTCCACTGGGGGCAATGCAGACAGGAGAAGTGGGAGCCAGTAGCATGAAATATCGGTCACATCTGTTCTTCAGGACACACCATCTATCTTCTTTGTACTCTAGCCACCTTGCCTTTACAGATGGTTTTTACTTATGTAAAAATATTTTTTCTTTGGGCAGTATGTCAGCCTCAACATATGCTTCTGTGTCCAAATGTATTTTTTTAGCAGATTCCCTGTGTGCCAAAATTATGTGGGGTTTAATAAATCTGTGAATATAGTTTACACACATAAACACACAAATTCAAATAACTCTTTAAAATAGTTATATATAAGTATCCGTACACCTAAACTATATCTTCACATTATTCTTGAAACAGGTAGAGGTTTTTCAAAATGTGGGTAGAGTAAAAATAAGGAGTTTCATAGAAGGAATATTTTGTTTAAAACTCATCTATAACACATAAAGATATTTATGTTCCCAAATCCCAGAAATATTTCACTTTTCCAGTGTGAGAGTGAATACTTGATTTAAATATATTTTAAGGAATGAAATGGCTACTTCCATCCCATTAAATCTAACTCGTCTTTATTTTAGGATAAGCAAAATGAGCAATTTTTGATGTAAAACTATTACAGAAGATTTTATTTGTTGAAAGAAGTGTCTCAGGTTGGACATACTCAAGGGAGATCACTCAGAGCTTTACTAAAGAACGCAATTCAAATGTTTTGTACATCATTAATACTGATCTCCAAATATTTACAGCTCTCCCTCCTCCTGATCATTTTGTGATTTGATGGGACTGTGTGACCAGTTCTGGACAATGAGCTGTGAGTAATGAGGTTTTCCTTCCAAGCAGGACTATTTAGGTGCCAATGCAGACCCTCTGTATCTATCTTTGTTCTCTGGCATGGAGACCCATGATGATTGAGATAGTGGCTGTTCCACCAGCCTTGTTTCCTTAGTGACAGTGATTAGTGAAGTCTCCTGCTGACACACAGAGCAAATCTTTATGGTTTTTAGTTATAGAGATTTTTGAAGTATTTACTAACACAGCATGCTTAGCCTATGATAACACACACATATATAGTCCATATAGTCCATTAGAATCTAATAACAATTTATTAGCTATATAATCTCATACACATTCATGTAGTTATTTTTTTAATTCCAGGAGAATTTTATTTCCTTCTGAATTTTATGCTATTCTACCAAGGACCTATTATTTCTTGTTATTTAAGAATTGTGAGTCAATATCATCCCCAAAGTAATTAACTGAAGAAAGAAATAAAAAACAGATTCCGCTTGCATTATTTGTTGCTAACAATTTTAAGATTATGCACATCAATTGCAGATCCTACAAGAAACCTAAGAAAAATATATGCAGTTCTATAGATCTAGGATCTGTAATGAATAAATAGATTAATGTATAATAAAGTTGCCTTAACTTTGTATATCCCATGACATGCAGTTATCCTCAGTAAAAATTATTCTTGAGAAAGGGTGCTTTTATTTATCTCTTTGTCATAATAAAATAATATATTTTATATAACATAGGTATATGTTATACAAATATGTGATTTATAATTTCTACTGCCTTCCGTTAGAAGGAGGGTTATTTATTGGAACAGTACTGTGAAAAATGGGGGCATGAAAGTCTAGAACTAAAATCTATAGAAAATCTGAATTGTGTTGGCAAAAAGGGGGGTGGGGAGTAAAAGGTGATGGGATATTTGGGAGAAATTTAGGAAGAAAGAGGAAGGAGATAGGGCACGTGGAAAAGAGAAATCCCATTGCTAGCAGCATGCCTGAAAAAAGCATTGGGGAGAAGGTAGCTATCGCAATCTTATAAATTTGAATATTATAGAATATTAGTTATCAGAACCCTCTGATCTTCCCTCCAGAATCTTTGGAAAAGTCTACCAAAAGCCAAGTAATCACATCTTGACTGATTGGATTTCCTATGTAAAATGCTGATGATGACAAAGGCTATTTACTGATTGCTGAAGAAAATCAGTGCACTTAGTCCAGGGGATGGCTTGAATTAACATGACAAATTCCTATTAAATTCCTGTGAAAAGTGGCATTAACGAGGAAAAAGCAAAAAGGCTGCACTTTACCCACAGATTCCATTTGTGTGCACTGAGTTTGCACAGAAATAAAAACAATTACAGAAGCACTAGGAGTGGTTGGCTGTCAACACTTACTGCGAGGACAATCTGGAGGGAACTATGAGCCACTTCTATGTACTGGTACTCCAGAAAACACCCTGAGACCGTGATGTAGCGATGGTCCTCTGGGGCCCAGTCTGGGGCGGGTGTCACTGATGTCACCATACATCCTGGTCCATTCTCCATCCACCAAGATCGGTGCATTGAAATATTAAAAGTCAGGATAAGGTCTGTTTCCTGCAAGAAGGCAATTTATAAGGATGAGAATTACTTTATAAATGTTAGTTAACTTATTTGGGACTGACTTGCTTTAAGTTTCTCTTTTAGAAATATGGGTTTGTTTTTTTTTCCTGCTCCATACTATATTTCACAGGCAGCAACAAAGTGTCTAAAGTAATTATGTGTCTATGGATTCTACTCGTGAAGGTTTGCCTGACTATAACAATATAGATATAATTATTTTATTAGGAAAATTACCAATGACATGCATTAATTATATCACAGAAGGGTCTTTACCTTTCAATACTTGTAAATATCACAAAAGAAATGACTTAAACTCTTATCAGGTGAAGCTCATGGTATTGTAAATTTTCAGTATTTCCTTTCCCTCAGAATATTTACTTTTTGCACATTTTAAATCTTAACATTGTACTTCAATACTGCAACATTTAATATAATGTTGTGGCTAATGCTTAAATTTACAAGACCTTTACTTCATAAAACATAATATTACTTGTTTTTTTCTCATACTATTATTTTAGCAAATCAGTGTCTCTTCAATCTTGTCAAATTTGTGAAATTGGTCATAATATTTCTTTAAAAATATCATTACCAAATTCTTGCAGGGTAGACATAAGTCAATAAATATTTAGATGAAGTTTACCATGTTAGCTGATACACAACTACAAATGGAATAAAAGGTGGAGTTTTGCACTCAGCTGACAATCACACACACCAAGGTGAAGTTATCAATAGCACTTGGACAAATGTCTTTCAGAAATCGATGGCTAAAGCAAATGTGCATGAAACACATTCTACTACTTAGCAAGTCACGGAGAAAGATAAATTCAAAGAGAGAGGGTCAGTGATGGGAAATGAAACTATTTCAGTTTCAGTGATAGTTGATGCTGCAGGATAATAGGTGCCAAATATTCTCACTCCAAAGTGACCTATGTGCTAGATTGACTAGAAAGATTCTGTACAGAAAGTGTCTTAAATCATGTCTGGGAACCTGAGCCACACACTCGCATTGGACAAATGAAAGGGTTGAGTTGGAATAGCCAGGGAATTTAGAGATTGGAGAGCACTAAGCAATAATACCATTATATCCATGGTGGTGGTTGGGTAATTTCACTTTTTCTTAAGCCTATTGAGAAAGGCTTCAAAGTATCTCTTGGAACCAGAGAGACATGGCAACTAGTTTCTGACTCAAGCCTTATAAATTTCAAAATAGAGCCTATGGGTAGAGATACTTGCTAAGTGGTCAAACAAAAATTAGGCATTATTTCAGAAAGTAAGTGTATTGCTACCTACTCATATGATAGGTCTAAGGCAGGTGTCCTCAAACTACGGCCCACAGGCCACATGCGGGTGTTTTTGCCCATTTGTTTTTTTACTTCAAAATAAGATATGTGCAGTGTGCATAGGAATTTGTTCATAGTTTTTTAAAAACTATGGTCTGGCCCTCGAATGGTCTGAGGGACAGTACACTGGCCCCCTGTTTAAAAAGTTTGAGGACCCTTGGTCTACGATAATGATCCTTGGAAGCAGATGTAGGCCATGAGGAAAGAGAGCTAACACGGGCTTTCTCTCAATACTTTCCAAGAAGGCCATTTGGTAGGGGGATAATGGCTGAATCTATACCACTACGTATTCCTAGGGTCCGAGGGAAGGAGTGCAATTGAGTAAGTAGGGAAGAGGCACAACCAAATCATGTATGTACAGGCGAGATATTCAGTACAAGTCAGGGCTTTGAAAAGCCCAGAAAAGTGTCTTGAGAAAGAGTCACTTTCATCAGCCACTAAGGTTTGTTAGTACTTATATATCTTTCCTGCTTCCTTATCTTTTTGCCGTTTTAATACTCCAAGTATGGAGGGGCCTGAAATCTCAGATAATAGTTGTGAGATAGGGATGGAGTAGGTTAGTAAAGACAGAAGTCAAACACTGAGCATACAACTCTTTCCTGTATAAAAGCAGAAATTTAATTTTGAATAAAATTTGGATTTTTTTATTATAATACCAAACATATTAATTTCTGAACAGAGACTGTTTTGGAAGCTATAGTGACTTCAGATTACTTTTTGTTATCTGGATATAACCAGACAAATAGGAGGTCTGCCATGTATTTTATCCAGTGGCAGTGGAAGTATCAGGTCCACAGGTAGGCTTGGAGTGGCAACCGTAAGAAAGAAATAATGTTCTCTACTTCTCAGAATCATGATTATGTAAAATCTGATTACCAAAGCTAACTGAGTAAATCACTGGAGCCTATGAGGAAAAAGAAAAAAGTTTAAAAGGGCAACCAATCAGAGACTAAGATTTGAGGACAGCCAGGCTTGTGCAGTCCAGCAAGAGCATAGTCTGGTTTCCTAATAGCTGCTGATATCTATGTATACAGCTGGTGATATCTAATGTATCTCTGTAAATCTTCCTCTCTCACAGTAAGTCATGACCAGCTATGAAGGTCCACTTGAAAGAATGGTAAGAAGGATTTACTGAAACTGAGAACTGGGTTATTTGCGTTATCTCTACTCATCTGTTGAAGCAAGATATGGTTCTAGTAAAAACTGGATGAATCAGTAAACAACTATGCATGCATTTGTCAGGGTAATCATTATCTCAAACAGGGACCAGAGCACAAAGCACTGACAGTGAGAATATGGTTGTTGGCTATAACACATAGCAGTAGTTCAGATAGGTTACCACCATCTAACACCTGGGACTGTCACAGATTTTGCAATGAAAGTCCCTTTTCCTTGGAACCCCTTAATTCCAACACACCAGGAAAGTTGATTACTACAGCTACAGAAACACTTCAGAAAAGCATTGATTGATGCAGGTTGAGTTTGTTGTGTACTAGAGCTGTGGTGATCATAGCATTCATTCATTTACTAATTATGTATATTCTAACTATGCCACCCAAAAAGAGCCTTGTTTTGATAAAGCACACAATATGCCATTAAAACAAGGGTAAAGAATATGAGCCCCAAAATGAAGATGGTGGGTAGTGAGCCAGGAAACTAAGACATGTAAGTGCCTTATTTGGGCACTCAATCCAAGACTATATCCAAGTTATAAGGGAACATTGTGTCTCCCTTATAATTGTCATTATCTAAAAGAATGAAGCATACTATAAATCCAAGACAATCTTTTCTATCTTAATATTAAATTTTTAAGAGAAATTAACAATTTTATAAATATTTTTACAAAAAATATTCATAATATATTGGATGGTATCTTTAATTCATTTTTTCCCCCTAAAATGTCAGAGATATTGGCAGGGAGTTGTGCTGGATTTAACAGACAACTGAGTCTCCTTTAGTTCCTCTTTCTAATATAGCAACTACGTTGGTTTACTAGGGCTGCCATTAACAAAGTACCACAAATTATGTTTCTTGTCTCACAGTTCTGGAGGTAAGCGTCTAAGATCAAGGTGTAAGTAGGGCTGGTTCCTTCTGTGGGCTTCCCCTGAGGGAGACTCTGTCCCATGCTTTGACGGTGTGCAGGCAATATTTGGCATCTTGGTTTGTAGAAACATCACTGAAATCTCTGCCTTTATTTCACATAGTGTTCTCCTTGTGTGCCAGTCTGTGTCTGAGTTTCCCTTTTTTATAAGGATGCTAGTCATAATGGCCTAGAGCCCACTCTGATGACTTCATTCACTAGTTACATCTGAAATGGCCCTATTTCCAAAGAAAGTCACTCTAAGGCTGAAGTCCCAACCCCAGAACAGCAGCCCAGTACCAGTCTGTGGCCTGTTAGGAACCGGGCCAGGGATCACCACCTGAGTTCTGCCTCCCCACCACCACTGCCCCAACCCTCCAGCCCTCCACTGCCCCCTGTGGAATAATTGTCTTCCTTGAAACTGGTCCCTGATGTCCAAAAGGTTGGGGACCACTGCTGTAAGGCACCGAAGGTTAGAATGTGTGTGTGTGTGTGTGTGTGTGTGTATATAAATTTGGGGGGAGTGGGCACAATTCAACCTATAATGATTAACTCTAATTTCTAAAAATCATTTGAACCATATGGTTGAACTTGTCAACCATATCTGGATGACAAGTACCATATTTTATTACTTCATATATTTATCTCTTTGCTTTCTATGTTATTATCTGGAATATTAATTACATATATATATTTAAGGCAAGCACAAAAATGAGGTTTATTGAGGAAAGCAAGACAGCATTATAGGACAAGAGCAAGACACAGGCCTGCAGATACGCCACAGATGACGACCGGGCCCATTGTTGTAGCAAAGGGACAGCGCAAGGAAGGGTGCATAAGAGAGGGTGGTTATGGTCTGAGTGTCTTGTTTTGTGATGTCTGGATAGGGACTTCGCATTTTAAAAATTAAAATTACAATAAGGTTAATAGCCAGAAATAGCACTCTTTGTCCATAGTTTTTTCCCACCTTCTGGTACTTGTCCAAAGGCAATCACTTTCATTTTTTAAAGGGCTGTTTCTTTGTTTACTTACTTCCGTTTTGCAAATATTGTGCTCATACTGATGTTATTCATTTATCATTTAAATATTATCTAATTATTTCTACTATGGAAAGTGTGAATTAGCATTCTTAGACCACATTATTCGCTTTCTATTCCCCACCATTCTGCATAATTTTCTCTAAAATTTGATTATATCAATATTATAAAATTTATGATTATGTAAATATTTTTATGGGTGAGCCACATAGTTAATTATGACTGCTTGTATAAATTTTTGTTTTCCCTGAAATTAATAATTCCTTCACAACTTTAAAATACAAACTTTATTTGTAGTTAGATGCACAGCAAAATTGAGTGAAAAGTACAAAAAGCTGCCTACACATTTGCACAGCCTCTCCCATCATCAACATTGCACACGAGAGTGGTATATTCGCTACAATACACGAATTTACACAGGCACATTATTATCATCTAAAATCCGTAGTTTACATTAGGGCTACTCTTGGTGCTGTACATTTTATGGATTTGGACAAATGCATAATATCATGTATCCACCATTATAGCATCAGACAG